TAAGGACCAGGGCTGTTTCTACATTTCTGCGGTGTTTGTGTTTAGCTGTAATTTTCCTCTTACTAATTTACTGTACCCACACATATTATATACCGTTTTTTTCACCATTAAATGATCTTTCTAAAGATACCATTATTTTCATCATATCATATAATTTACTATAAAACAAATTATAAAATATGATGAAAAATCTTTGACCCCCAAAATCTGTTACGCATCTACACCCTGTTCCAAATTATTATGCAAATTCTATTTGTGTCACAAAGATGAAATATTTTGTTTTTCAGTTTAACTCATGGATGGCATCGTGTCTCAGGGCTCTTTTGATCACTGAAAACAATCTCGGACACCTGTGATAATAAGATTGCCAGGTTTAAGGAAACTACTAACTACTAAAGGAGGGTGTTCCACATTATTAAGCAGAGCACCATTTTCATGCAATATTGGGAAGAAAAAGGATCTCTCTGCTGCCGAAAAGAGTGAAATAGGTCAATGCCTTGGACGAGGTATGAAAACATTAGATATTTCACAAAAACTTAAGCGTGATCATCGCACTATTAAGAGATTTGTGGCTGATTCAGAGCACAGACGGATTTGTGAAGATAATGCCACATTGAGAAAGATTTCTGCCAGATCCATGCATCGGATCAAGAGAGCAGCTGCTAAAATACCATTACATAACAGCAAACAGATATTTGAAGCTGCTGGTGCCTCTGGAGTCCCACGGACATCAAGGTGTAAAGTCCTCCAGAGTCTTGCAACTGTACATAAACCTTCTATTCGGCCACCACTAACCAATGTTCACAAGCAGAAACGGCTGTATTGGGCAGAAAAATACATGAAGACTAATTTTCAAACAGTCCTGTTCACTGATGAGTGCCGTGCAACCCTGGATGGTCCAGATGGATAAAGTAGTGGATGGTTGGTTGACGGCCACCCTGTTCCACCAAGGCTGCAACGTCAGCAAGGCAGTGGTGGAGCCATGTTTCGGGCTGAAATCATGGGAAGAGTGCTGGTCGGCCTCTTTAGGGTCACCGAAGATGTAAAGATGACCTCTGCAACATATGTAGAGTTTCTGACTGACCACTTTCTTCCCTGGTACAGAAGGAAGAACTATGCTTTCTGTAATAAAATCATCTTCATGTATGACAATGCGCCATCTCATGCTGCAAAGAATACCTCTGCACAGGGGCGTATTAGCCGCGAGGCAAACAAGGCATTTGCCTTGGGCGGCATTTTTCAGGGGGCGGAAAAAAACGCCGCCCCCAAATGCCCAGGCAAATGCTTTGTTAGCCTCGCGGCTAACTGACCGGCCGGGCGGCGCTGGGCACTGGGCAGGCGGCTGGCGAGGGAGCTCTTCCCCTGAGCTGTCCGCTCAGCTCCCTCGCGCGCCGCAGAGTGAGGCTGGGAGCCGGAAGATGACGTCATCTTCCGGCTCCCAGCCTCACTTTGCGGCGCGAGGGAGCTGAGCAGACCGCTCAGGGGAAGAGCTCCCTCGCCAGCCGCCTGCCCAGCCCGGCAACCACTGGACCACCAGGGAGGTAATGAACCCCCCTTCCCCCCCAGCACTCCCAAAGGTAAGGAGGTGGGGGGGGGGTAAATAAAAATAAATTAAAAAATGTGTTTTGTTAGTGTGTTTGTCTGACTGTGTCTGTGAGTGTGTGTTTCTGTGAGTGTGTGTTTGCCAGTGAGTGTGTGTCTGTTAATGTGTGTGTGTTTTGTTAGTGTGTTTGTCTGACTGTGTCTGTGAGTGTATGTGTTTGCCAGTGAGTGTGTGTCTGTTAATGTGTGTGTTTGTTAGTGTGTGTGTCTGACTGTGTCTGTGAGTGTGTGTGTTTGCCAGTGAGTGTGTGTCTGTTAATGTGTGTGTGTTTGTTAGTGTGTTTGTCTGACTGTGTTTGTCTGTTAGTGTGTGTGTTTGCCAGTGAGTGTGTGTCTGTTAATGTGTGTGTGTTTGTTAGTGTGTGTGTCTGACTGTGTTTGTCTGTTAGTGTGTATGTGTGTGTCTGACTGTGTCAGTGAGTGTGTGTCTGTTAGTGAGTGTGAGTGTGTCAGTGAGTGTGTTTCTGTTAGCGAGTGTATGCGTATCTGTCAGTGAATGTATGTGTGTGTATGTATTTGGGGCGCCTGAGTTTTGTCCTGCCTAGGGCAGCACAAAACCAGGATACACCACTGCCTCTGCATCAATAGCTGCTATGGGAATAAAAGGAGAAAAAGTCATTGTGTGGCCTCCATCCTCCCCTGACCTCAATCCTATTGAGAACCTTTGGAGCAAAAGATTGATGAGGGTGGGAGGCAGTTTACATCCAAACAGCAGCTCTGGGAGGCTATTCTGATATATTGCAAACAAATTCAAGCAGAAACTGTCCAAAAACTCACAAGTTCAATGGATGCAAGACTTGTGAAGCTGCTATCAAATAAAGTGTCCTATGTTAAAATGTAACGTGACCTGTTAAAATGTTTAAAAAGTTAAAATGTTGTTAAAAGTTTGATTGAAATAGCTTTTGATTTCAGTAAATATGCTGCAAACACAACAAATTACAATTTTCAGTTCTTTATAACCTATAAAGTGTTTTGAAACTTATTGTGCGTAATAATTTGGAACAGTGCATTGTAAGTTTTTTATATATTTTAAAAAAAAATACTGTTATCATTAGGAGGCTTGTTCAATAAAATTTGAATTGTACTCTTAATAGTTGATAACATGAGAATTATGCTGACTGTTATTTACATCAATTATTTAGGTAAATGAGAAAAGTATAATTTGCTTAATAATTTGGAACAGGGTTGTTTCTACATTTTGTCCTGAGTTTAGAAATACCCAATGTTAACATGTTCTTAGTTTTTTGTTTTTTTTTTGCAAGTTATAGGGCAAAAAGTACAAGTAGCACTTTGCTATTTCCAAACCATTTTTTCCCCCCCAAATTAACGCAAGTTACATTGTAACACTGATATCTGTCAGGAATCCCTGAATAACCCTTCACATGTATATATTTTTTTAAAAGAAGACAACCTAAGGTATTAAACCTGGGGTATTTTGACTCTTTTCATGCAACCATTTTACCAGCAAACTATGTCAAATTTTTAAAAAATTCAATAATTGGTGATTTTTTGACCCACATGACAATTTAAGAATACATGTACTGAGAACTTTAAGGGTTACTGCCAAAGTACAGCCCAATATGTGTTCAGCAACATCTCCTGAGTACAGTGATACCACCCATACATAGGTGTGTCAGCTTCTCTGGGGGCTAAAATACCTTATTTGGAGGGTGCGCATTCCAGTTTTCCAACTTGGAATTTTCACAGCTGGTCATCATGCACCCATGTCCTATTTGGGACATTTTTGAAGCCGGCCAATGTAACTTACCCCCACCAAACCATATATTTTTGAAAAGTATTCACCCTAGGGTATTTTAAATGGTGTTTTTTTTTAACACTTTATAAGTGTATATATCGGGACAATAAAGCCATATTGTATTGATACCTTATCATACCTGTAGAGGTATATAACATTCGGTTGAGGTGTGCCGAAACTGACGTATTGGTAGACCTGTAAATAAAGTGGGCGAAAGGATGTATGCCAAAATAATTTATTCAATCAACAATTGCCTTATTACAACATAGAATATCACAATGCTAAATGTTGGAATGCCTGTCTAATTTCATTCTCGGGTTGAGGAATGTATCTACAGTAGGCTGTCGATAATGAACCGCATTATCTATCATGGCATAATGTAAAGAGAATTCTTTAGATGGAATTAAACTGGGAATGATGGAGGAGTGAGGTGCTGACAGATCTATAACCAGCCTTTTTTTTAAAGGAGTGTTTTCCCATGACAATGCCTATTGGGTTTGTTCGCCAATTAGAAAAGAAGTGTGTGGAAAAGGGGCCTATTATAAACCCTTGATTCAGCTCCTGTATTAACAGTGTATCAACCGATCCTGCGTCATTGATAGCTGACTGTACGTTTTTACTTTCCACGATACCGGTAGGGAAAGCTATGATACCAGTGTGGAAGCCGTCCGAAAACCCTGAAACCAAGAACTCAACGAATTGTGGAGATGGGTGCGTTGCTAATAGTAGAGACAACTTAATGATGTTTACAGATGTAAAGTACTGTTTGGAATGCAGTTTATTAGGGCAAATCGTCTTGGAATGTGCACAGAAACATATCGTACAAGTATGCAATAATCTACAGGCACTAAACCCACAAGTCCCCGCATTAAAATTATTGCAAATTTGGGATTTGCCAAGGAACACAATTGGCCTGCTATGACTTTCTCCGGCCTGGCTGCAGGGCAGGACTGGCCCACCGGGATACCGGGAAATTTCCCGGTGGGCCGCGGCACCTGGGGGCCGGCCGCGTTCCTGGGCCGGCCCTTTAAATACTGCAGCCGCCCGAGCGCTCTGTTAAGAGCCTCAGGCGGCTGCAGCTTCTCCCCGGCCGGTTACAGGAAACAGAAACTCCTGTTCCGCGCTGAGTTTCTGTTTCCTGTAACCGGCCGGACTGACAGGAAGTGCACACTCAGTGTGCACCTTCCTATCACCCCGGCCGGCCACCGCGGACCGGAGTGCAGC